AGAGTTAAAGTGTACTGCAGCTTCAGTACAAAGTGGATTTTATATAAATCTTCTGAAAACGAGTTGATCAAAAGCCCCAGTGCTTTTACCAGCCTAATTTAAGCACTGCACGTTGTCAACAACAGACCTTAAATCTGTTTTCCACAGTGAATGTACTTATCATGCAGACTCTTAAAGGCAGGTTAAACACAAACCTTAAACAGCTGAAGCCTCAGTCAACGACGTACCTGCACATTCATCTGTTGATTACAATTTTTAATATCCACAGCAGGGGGTCAGGTTTTAATAAAAGTTAAGACTCAAAAGGACAAAAACCACAGCAGCACCATCGCATAGCTCCTTAGTAAGGGCTGCCTGACCCAGCAACGTGTTTATTCCAGGAAATTGTGTCATCCTGCCACTTAAGCTGCCTACAGAAGAGTTGCCCATCTCACATGCAAGCTTCTAATCTCTCCAGGGTTACTCAAGGTAATCCCCACTGAGCCGTGCTTGATTGGCTGTCACAGAAGTACAGCAAGTTTCTGTCTAGTCAGATCACTGGACTGTACCACCTGCTGCAAAGACATACTGGCTGATCCATAGACATGAGCTTATGCTGACAATGCAACTCGGCTATGAAAAAGAATACTCCCCTTACTGACCACCACTTCTCCCAGCCCCCTTTCAACTTTTTAGTTAAAAAACTTACTTAAAAGATTGAGTATTTAGTCCTTCGTTGAAGGCATACAGTGACATACACTACCCTCTTTGGCTAATATAATAAAGTATCCTCGGTGATATTATTTTTGTAGTTCCGCATTTTTCAACCCACGGGTTGTGACCCAAAAGCAGGTTACAAGAATATATGAAAGGCTCATGACCAACTTTAAAAATGGATCGGGAAACTTTAAAAATGGAAGGGAGGAAAACGTGGCTTTACCCTTGCAGGCTGGCAGAGTTCCAGCCTGCAAGGGGCTGCTTGGGGATCCCCAAGCCCCACACACTGGGGAGCTCAGGATGGGAGGCAGCGGGTTGGGAGTGGAGGGCACTGGGTCGGGACTGGCCACTGATGTTTACAAGTGGGTCTTGGTACAAAAAAGGTTGAGAACCACTGTCCTAGCTGATCAGTTTTGCTGCCTAAACTGGTGGTTGTGAGCAAAATAAGTTTACAAGACTGCAGTAAAAGGAGGCAGACAACTCCTCCCCGCCCTTCATCAAGGCACATAACATACTGTGCACATGGAGGAGAAAGTGTAGCACCACCCAAGCATTAAAAAGTCTGCAGCATATCCAAGGATTCATTTAACTGATATGCATCACTTCAAAGAAAGATACCAGCAAGCTGGGATCCTATGATCCCTGCTGACTTCCTGCCCCTGGGGCAGGGGGCTGGACTCGATGATCCTCTGGGGTCCCTTCCAGCCCAAATGTCTATGAAGTCTATGAAGCTGGAAGTTCCCTAGTAAGCATCTGCTTTTTTTTTTTTTTTTTTTTTTTAAAGAAAGAAATTTAAATTATCCTATCAGAACACCCCTTCCATGAATTGGAAGCTTTGAATCAGTCTTATCGTTTCTATCCATCCCATTTCCTATTCTAATGGTAAAACAAACAAACAAAAAAACCTAAGATATATATAGAGCTCACTCAAGTGCATAGAGACCTGTTATGCTGCCGCCTCAAGCATTCTGAAAAAATGTAGCTATTATTAGAAGTTCCATCTCTTCCCAGGTTTAGTTTGAACAAATATAAGCATGTTATTAACCAATAAAACACTATATTCCTTAAGCTTTATATACCATAATCCAGTACTCATGGTCTTCAAAGTCCAAACAGCCACAGAGATCTTTGGTGCTGGCCAAGTTTAAATGGTTGCAGTTGAAATAACTAAAAATATCATTGGGCTTTTAAGTGAAAATCATGATTAATCCATTCTAGTGTCACATCTGCTGTGTGCTCAACTGGAGGACTGAACCTACCAGTGTTTGCTGTCTGTCCCACTGCACTAATACCTCTTTCACCTCCACATACGACACTAGGTGAGCTGCTAGAAGGCTTCATTCAAAACACCTCTTTTGCTGGTGCAGCAAAAGGTGTTTTGGTACATAAATCCCAGACATGCTGCTGTCAGTCAATGAGAGAAATTCCTGATATGACTTAATAACACTCACAATAAATAAAATTCTTCCAAAAATATTAAATGTTACACTGACAAAAGGAGCCCCGGGCAAACAAGGCAATTCAAAGCTTTCCATAAGCTTATTACCAGACTAAAAATGTCTGTGTTATGCCTACAGTGAGATGTCCTATTAATGGGCACAGTAATTATAAGCATAAATACAGTTACTGGTGGTTTCAGCACAATTTTCTGCAATCTATAGTATAAACAAAACCGTACTACAACTCAAATATTAACGAGTTTTTAAAAAGAAGGCAACAGAGCTCCGAGTTACGGAAGATGCGTTTAAGAATTGAACAAGGTGTCTAAAAAATATTTTAATATCCTTTGTATTTACAGTATTTCAGATGCCCATGTGTGTTCTTGCCAATTTGTTTCCCATAATTCCAGGATCTACAATTTAGCCCAAGTGTTTAATCTGGACTGACAACTGACAGACAGACTCCAGTTCTGCAAAAATATGCGAGTCAAGTTCTTAAGGAAAAGCAGTTGCTGCAACTTCCATGGAACTACTCTTAGATTTCAAGTTATTAATAGGAGTCAGTGTTTATAGGAGAAGGTACAAAATCAACCAGAGCACACTTGTTTTAACCATATTGCATTCCTGCTTCATAGTAGTGGATAAGAATGTAAGCAAACTTGTCTGATATTTTTATTAGTCAAACTGAAAAAGTTTCAAAGCAAATAGTGAAACTGGTGAAAAACACATTAGAATTTTATATTCACTCGGTTTCAATAATGTAAGATTCAACAACGTAGATAAGGGAATTTTTAAGCTGATTATTTCCATATTTAAAGCATTCCTTGAGTACCTCAAAACTTAGGGACTGACAACTGGCTGGATTCTTCCCACTGAGCAGCACTTTACTTCTCAAAGAGCACAACTGATGACTGTGGAAGTACTGCTCAACACAAGAGATAATACAGTCTAGCTCTTTACCAAGTAACTTTTGCACTGAAATAATAATGCTGAAGTTAGTCCCTTATTCCACAGGCATTTTCTGTTCCACTTTCATTTTTCAAAGTGACTGAATAAACATTTGGGAAGCGTGATTTATTTCAAGCCAGTGGGTATTTCCCCCTTGGAGTCCTCTCTCTATATGAAGCCACTGCAAGTAATGTTTTGATGGACTCCAATACAACTTGTAACAAAAAAAGAAGTCCACAATGACTCTTGCTTTGAGAAGAGTTCTGGCAAAGGATGATGCTCAGTACAATCTCTTGATAAAGCGATCAATGATTTGTCACAGGTTGGTTAGCTCTGATTAAAGATATCTTCGCGAAAAGACAAAAAACCCCAGACAACCCTACTTCTAGGGAGCCCTAACCCTACTTGCAATAAGGCTATTTTTTCTACCCGAGGCTATCAGTGAGAATAGAATTCAGAACAGCTTTGCCACAACAGCACTGACAGAATTGCAAGGTGCTGCCTGCGTTAATTAGTATGCTGAAGCATGTTTTCTAATATGCTTTGTTTTGTGATGATTTCATCTTAGTCATCCATGAGACTTCAGGAAGAGACTCAAGTGTTCAAGTCAAAACTTCCATACACAGATTCCTCTGTGCACTTTTTCAATACATGTACGAGTTAAGACACTGGCAGACTTAGTACTCTGTGAAGAATTAAAAGTATTAGAGGGAAGGGACTCCGTCACCTGGGATATTCGATGATGCATAAAACAACAGCTTTCCTGTAACGTTTCACTACAAAACAACTGGCTCAGCTAATGGTAATGTCAAGATTTTTTCGGCTACTGGTAGCTGCATCATACCATTTCTTTTAGCAGATGTAATCTGTACCTTGTGTAGTTCTCAACATTTCTAAATCCTACTTTTGAGATTTGCCATTTTACAATTCCCCATCAGTGAAGACAGAGTACTTCAGATCTCACTGGGTCTTCCTTTTCAGTATTTCTGCCAGGATGTGAGTAACAGAAAGCTGATCAGCAGAAATGAGTAGACTAATTTAGGGTTTTCCAAATGCAATGGTTCCGTTATTCCACATTTCTAAAATCTTCTTAATTTAGCAAGTTAACCAAAAGAGCCCCCAAAAGACCTGTCAGTTTCCAGACTGTTCACATTTCTTTTAAAGAGGTTTCTTTTAAAGAGGCCTTGGTTGTCAGTCACCTTAACGATTCCACCTCAGCAATTATGTTCGTATCTCATCTCAAAACCATACCCTTCTTTCTTACCCTATCAGAAGCACTGTTGCTATTTTTCTAAATGCAGCTTCTCTGCTCTTCCAATTCTGACTTTCCCCACATTTAACACATACATTTCTTACCTTTCACCAAAATTGTTAGTTTCTTTAGTTTTCATTACTTTGCAATGTTTATCTTAACCCTGGCAGCCAAGTAAACATATAAAACTATCTTCATAACATGTTACTCTTTTCTCCGAACATCTCTAATACTCCAAAAAATTTCTTTGTGAATCAGCAGATTTGTTAATTTGAATGTAGTAAAAGTAACTGATCTATTTTTACTTTTGCTATTATATTCCAGCTTGACTTTGAGCTTGACCACCAAATAATGAGCACTCTTAACTTCTGTTTTTGACAGACATTGTAAAGTGATTATGTATTTTCCACTGAACATCATATGCCCTACCTAATTTCTACTGGCTCCTTTATATGATTTGCTGATAGATCTGACCTCAATAGCTACTGCTAGGTCCTCAAAACAAATGAACTGCCTTAGTAAGAACCGCAAATGAGCAAAGACAGAGTATAAGAAGAAAATAATATTTGAAAATATTATAAAAATAATATTTGAAAATTTGTTTTAAATTTGATTCACATTTGCCTTCATTCTAAAAGTCACTTTCACACAAACAAGCAATCTACCTGGTTTCTTCCTCTACGTTTTCCATAATTTCTTCGCACAAGCGCTTTATAATTCTCATTTTTCTTGGTTAGATAATAATATAGCACACAGTCAGGAACATTCTATGAAGAAAGACCAGAAGTAATCAGTTTTTGCAGCTCAAAAGTCCAAAAAATTAGATGTGGCATTGCACTATTTACATTAGCTAAGTCACTAGATTTAGCAAAGTTTGAAAATGTTGCTCAGTAATGAAATGGATGAGCAAACATAAATCTGAATAAAATTGTTATTGCATATTAAACCGAATCCCTATACATTATATTCATAAAACCTCTCAGCTAGTTCATTCTGCATGATTTAACTAATATCTTATCATTAGCAAATTCAAGTCCCTCTTTATATTTCTGAGGATCCATGTCATAAGCAACTGGACTGATCCTTATTGTTAAATGATTTTTGTTCAGTTTTGTCTTTCAAATAGACCATGTAGACCCTCAGCCCCAACTTAAGAGTCTGACCTTGCCTTCAGTGAAGTCTGATTGATTTTTTGGTGTGGGATGAGAATCCTTAGACATAACATCGCTAACTTAACTAAAGAGTTGAGGCTTCTTACCTGCTTCAGATAAAACAAAACTGCAACATCCTCTCTTCCTTTATTCTTAGTGCACAAATGTAATGCTATAGAGGGTTTTGTTTTTTTTTAGGTGTTTGTACACAACTTGTTTTTAGGGTTCTATTTTGTCTGAAAAATAATTGCTACTACCACACTGGATGAGAGATTTGATTTTGAAATTCTAAATTATTCCAAGAAGAGAACAGGTCACTGGGACAATCAAAAAGATTAACTAAACAAGCTCATGTTCAGAAAATTAAAACCAGTATACAGTGTTTACATTCTGAAACATCTTACCTTTCTTTCCAGGTAGGAAGCAATTAGACCAAAGTTCTTGGGATGTTGGACAAACCTTTTATAAATCAAAGAAATATTTCATTGTAACAGCATAATACATGATAACATCAATCTAAAAGTCTGGAACACAACTGTGTCCCATCAGCAAGCTTTTGACTTCCCCAAATGAAGCTAGTCTAATCAATGTATGCAATTTTTAGATCTAGGCACATTCTAGCTACATCTACTTCTGGATTACCAACAACAAGAGCTGTACCTAATGTTAATGTGTTCAGTAAAGTAACTTTTAAAAGGTTTCCTGTACAACAACTAGAAGTACAAATCAGCAAAAAAGTGGTGCTCGACTTAACTGGGAAGCGTATGTGTATGTGTTACTGGACACTTACTTTTAGCAGTGTGAACTGAAATTGGTTAGTTTTTACTATGTATTTAGACATGTATGTAACTCAAAGTGTAATGGAGACAAAGATAAAAATGCTAATTACTTTTCCTTGAAGATCTCCTTCTCATGGTCTGTCCAAACATTCATGAACTGTCTATCTTTATAAACCTTCATGGGATCCTCCATCAAACCATTCATATTAATAAACTTCACTCGTCTTTGTTCTGCATCAAACATCATGGGAGGAATGACAGAGAGCTGACGCATTTGTTTTTCATTGTTCTAAAGGGCAAAGGACAGATAGTAGGAGGCATTAAGTGTTTACATTAGGAAATAACTTGTATTGGCAACATATTACATCCATTCACTATGACTTAAAACAGCAGCACCACAGTACTCTGCCTACATCTTAATTTTTCCAAGCATTTTAATTTCTCGTTTAAAAGTTATGCCCATCCGAATTAGTAGTATGAACTGAAGGGATGACAAAACAGTGCTACGAATTTCATAATCACTGACATTAGTCAAATATTTTAAAAGCAAAAAAAGATACATCTTAAAATCCTATTTGCCTTAGAAGTGGGGAGAAATAGGACAGTTACAGGCCACATGACATGCCAAGACAGAAGTCCTTAACAGGAAGCTAGGTCACAGAACAAACACCCTTTTCAGGACAAGGCTCACAAAAGCTATCCTAATCTAAACTATCTGAAGGGGATATGAGTGCGCACACATGTATCCAAAGATGTTTTTCAGTATCTAAAGGAAGAGTTATAAATCATTTGCTGCGCTGATAAAATGAAGTACAAAAAACAGTCTCACCTCCTGCTCAGAGAGTCCATCAATGATTTCAGAAATCTCATGTTCACTTCTAGCAATGGTTGCTGAAAGACCAGCCCCTCTTTGACCAACCCTAGATTTTTAGGAAAGGTAAGGGGAGGGGGGTGAAGAGAAAGGGGAAAAAAGATCCATGTCTTGATATTTTGTACAAAGGAATACATTTCAGATCATTTAAATATAGTTAATTTAAGACCAGTATCTGAGATACCATTCTTTTATAGAAGAAAGGCTGAAAGAACACCCAATCTAAGTTACATGGTGCATTTTAAAATATAACTAGGAAGAACGCATTCAACAAGGTGGCAGGCAGTAGAACTGCCCGTGTCGATACAGGAAGTACAAGAGGTTTAGCACTGACTTCACTAGAAGCAATTGATTTTGCAAATCTTCCCCTCTGCTCTTGTTCCACTCCCCGCACCTGCCAACACGCACACAAATATTTGCCTAGAAAAGATTTAGTCATTCCAGGTACCAATATAAGTCACCAGTGCTCATTTCAGTGAAGGGAAAGAAAGTCAATAATTGTGAATCATTTCTCAATTATTTATCTCTAATTTTAAGCACATCACACTAACTCATGATAATAAAATGCAGATCCCTTCATAAACTCAGTATTTTTTAAGATTTCAGCAGTCAAAAAAGTGCAACAGGGAATAATCCTGGGCTGACACAAGGATTAGCACAATATCCAGTGGACCTTTCCCATCACTATAAACAGTTCTGATGACAGTCAAATGACACAAGATAATTTCAAAAAAAAATAAATAAATAATTTCTTTATACAAACTGGGCAGTAATATACAGGGACCCCAATCACTGCCAGGGAATTTATCACACTTGATACTACATAAACATAGGCAAAAGATCTTTTTTAAAAAAACAGAATATAGCACTTTACTATAAGAAGGTTTTTTTCATAAGTTTTTCCCCCCCGCATGAGATCACAAAACAGATTGGGGGTTAAGAAAGATGACGGTACGAGTTCTATATTAGGTTGAGAGATATGGGTCTCTTCACCTGAAGCCTAAATTTGCATATATAATTTGTCTCCACACTTCTTGAGAACTACGGTGCAACTGAAAATTTTGATCAAATGGTATTCTTTCAAAAGCAGCTCTTTAAAATTAAAATGTTATTTACAGACCTACAGAAAAATGTTTATAATTATGAATGATTTGCATTGTACACTTCTTAAAACTATTTATGTATAATTTTACTTGCTTAATTTTGACCTACCAAGTGTTAAACAGCAGGGAGCTATAATTATAATTTCACTTAATGTCAGTAACCACAGCTTCCTGACTGAAAAAACATGACATGTCTAACAAAAGGTCATTCAATAACAACCTTTAATTTAACCAAAAAACCCCCAAGTAAACTCTGTGCTTTGACTTCAGGCTATGGAATTTGAGTGGTTATGAGTCAGAAAGGAGTAATATAGGTATCTACTGACAGGGAAATACTGGCTGCAAAATGACTTCTAGATCTGAACTCAGTTTGCCCATGCTAATGAATAATTTAAAAATGAAGGTATACCCCACCCACCACCCTGGCTGCAAATACATATGCAGGTCATCTAAGTGAGAATAACCTCTCTCTTTGAGTCAGCCATCATTTAATTAATCAATTCCTACATCTATTGAGTCAGTGGGATTTCATGACAGATTTAAAAGGAAAGAGATGGAACAAGGAACAAGGTGGAAAGAAGCAGAGATGTCAGTAAAAAGCTAAAAAAACAAATCAAGGAGGTTGGAAGTCACTAAGCAGAAGGGAAAGGGGAAGTGCAAGACATGAGGGAAGAGTGGACACGCAGTGAGAGAAGTTATGAAGGTTCTTGAGAGGTGAAGAGAAGCTTGAATCCAATGCTTTGAAACATGAGGAACCATGCAAGGCCATGCATTCAAATATAAAACAAGCTGACATTTCACTTTGTCTAAGAAATCATGGGTATAAAAGCCACATTTCAAATTATTGCACAGGAGCGGAGTAGAAATAGTTTGTCATGAAACAAATGTTTTGCATTTGACAAAATTTAAGAGCAAGATGATCACCCTAGAAGAATATCAAGAGTGCATTACCTTTGAAATCGTTCTTGCTGCTCTCTCTGTTTTCGGATTTCTGGGAACTGTTTCTCATAGTACTCTCTTGTTTTACTCTCTTTAGCTTTCCTACGAGGATTATTTTCTATCCTGTCAACTTTTTTCTCCCATGCCTCCATCAATTGATCATAACGTTGACAAATCTTCTGTTCCTTTGAAGTTAAGGAGAAAAAGAGTGAGCTAAAAACAAATACACCAAGTTACCAGTGTATTGCTAACTCCATGCTATGACATGTTGTACAGAGGCCACAGGGTTTAAAAATGGATACTCAAAACTCATCCTAAATTGATGCCTGTCTATTCTGAAGAGGTAGTGCCCTCAGTTTCAGGCAGGGAGGAAAAGAAGAGGATTCTTCATTGCCAAAACCTCTTCTCTAGGTTTAGCTATTTCATTCTGGTTTATGCACATTGTTATGATTTTGGATGACACCATCAAATAATTTAGTTATAGGTTCTGGATGAAGCGATGAGATTCACTGAAAACAATTCCTTTAATTCAAACACTTTTCCATGGGTTTGCAACCAAAACATTGCTGCTTTATGCAACAACATGAAGCGAAAGAGACCGATTAGTTTATTTGCATTGTTCTTACTAAATTAAAAGCAAAAAGTATGTAAAAAGCACAAGCGTGAAAAGTGAAATACTGTAAACATTTTAATTATCTTAGATTTTACCAGTTTCCAGACAGCATTCTAACCTAAATTTACAGGGCAAGGCAAGTTAAGAGGAGACTATTTTACACTTAAAATAAAATTGGGAGTGGAAAATACAACCTTTTCATTTAGTCTGAAAAATGCTGTCGGCAAGATGCAGTGACTCTTACTTCATTCACTAATTAGTTTGGTCTGGTCTTTACTCAAAAAGCCTTAATTAGTCATTATTTGCTCTCTTTTTTGAGGTTATTGTGAAGAAAAAACATTTCAATCTTACGCTAGTTAGAATTTATGTCCAGCCCCTTTCTCTTACTCTATATGCACTCTTGAAATAATACTTCTTGCATAAGCCACTGCTGAAGACTAGCACACAGTGAATATGAACATTAATCTAAACTGTGCAGTTTTCTAAAGCTGATGTATATTAATGTAAAAAAAGAGAATTTGAGTCTAGTGTCAAATGGGCTTAAGTCATTATTCTGATTTACACAAAGGCAATGTAGCATTACCCTTTGTTTCCTTGCATGATTTCTTCTCTTAAAAAATAAAATTAGCTTCTTCCTCATCACCTGGTTTCTAGAAAACAAAATCAGAAAAAATATTAACCGTAATTTAACCAACATATTTACATACAACATCCAAGATCTCAGAAAAATTACATTCTTTAAAATGTTCTTAAAGTTGTTGCAAAGTCTTCTGTGCACTAGACTGCTTCATTTCATAGTTTCATAGTTGTTAGGGGCTGGAAGGGGCCTTACATTTGATGCTGTTTCCTTTAACACACCAGAAAATGTTTGATAAAGATGTAAAATCCTGCTCCAGACAACAAAGGATATCCCTGAAGGAAGGAATTGCTAAGAAACAGAGAGAATCCTGGCTAGCCTAGGCAAGTATGAGCTTTCTCTCTATGAAGGAGGTGGCGCAATTCACTTAACCTGGGAAAGATGGCACCGTGCAAGTAAAGGACCCCTGCAACTCCCTCACATTGCAAGTTTGCCAATGTAGGTAACCTTATTTGATTTTGCACTAGTTTCGTAAACACTACGCAACTTGCATATGCAGGAACATCATAAATGATATTGGTAGACAGCTTCAGATTTTGGTTGAGGGTTCGATTCCAGTAGTTTTATATTCTTCATTCAGAGATATTTTTCAGGATCTCATTTGTCCATCACCTTACAAGTGTCATGAACCACTGTTCTCATGTATAAAACATTTGCCTTACTACAAACTTTTACTACCGAGACCTAAGGAAGTGTACAATGGTACCCGAAAGCTTGTCTACATCCCTTCCAACAATCAAGTTGGTCCAACTAAAGCTATCACTAACAAAAATCCTTGCCTTCTGCATTATGAAAATGAGACAAATTATTAGTAAGACTTACAATGAAGCCAGAACTCCAGAGAGTAAAGGTCTCAACACATTGCTATTTAAGGGTTTTTCCCAGTATTTTAGAGCGCTTTGGGTTAGACTACCAGACGAACAAAATTTTAAAACTAGGCAGCCCCAACACAATAAGTCCAAATTCCCACCCGTCTGCCTCACAAATAGCACATCATTCAAGACACAGTGCTTATGTACTATGCACAGTATGGGACTGAATTCAACTATGTAAAATGATATAGTTTATTTTGAGTGTCTCGGTGGAAAAACAAACAAATACCTGCTTAATTAGGCAAGATACTCTGAAAGAAGGGACCATATGTAGTATTACACAGATGTGAGAAAAAAGGTTGATTGAATGAGTCATCTTATGTTCAAATCTTCCCGGTTCCTACTATATGATCTCTTTAGAGATCATGGCAACTAGGCAAAAACTAGGTTGCGAATGGAGGGATTTCAAAAATTGTATTTCTTAACTTTGAAACTTTTAAGAATATCTACAAGGAAAATTAAAGAGCTAATCATCACAGCAGATTGTAGAAGCAGTTTTATCTTTAGCAAGCACATGGGAATGAACCAGAGTGCTCTGAACACTGCACTGTAAACTTACTTTAACTCTCACAGCAACTTGGGTTTCTCAATGTTAGACTTTAATCCCTATTAGCCAAAAAGTATAAAATCTTTCGTTCCAGCCTGAGACCTCGGTATTCTAAAGCTTTTGGAAACAAAGTGGCTTTTGTTCCAAAACAAGCATCCCAAATAAAGAAAATAAATAGGTTTTAAAAGCTTTAACCTATACATTTAATTTGAGCCTTGTGTACTTCTTTTATAAAAAAAAAATTTAAAGTACACATGCATATGTACATGAAAAGAGTTGTTTAGACACTGGACATTAAATAATTTTGTAACCATTGCCTTCACCAGATTAATTTTAAATGAAGAACTGAGTACTTATGTTCCACTCCGGGTATCAAATCAAAGGTTTCAATTATTTCTTAAGTTTGTTTCAGCTTTAAGTCAACTGTATGATACAAGCTCTTGGTAAAGCTAAAAAGACTCAGGCATCTGCGTGATCAATACCAACACAAGTACTTGCTGAAGAGAGATACAGGTCTCCTTGCAGAACCAAGCCATTATCTCAATGAAACTAAACTGAGTCTCAAACTCCAGTTGACTTCATCCCTTTTTTTTTCCTTCTTAATGAAAGAAGCAAGTATCGTTTTCCCTGGTGGTTTATGTTAATCAGTACGTAGTGCCTGCATAACTGTATATCACTCATTCCCCATGTTTCCTCTCACTAACACCTGCAATATGATCATATTTTAATTTGTGCACTTGTCTACAAAAAGCAAATCAGTAAACGCTAACAATGTATATAATGGTATCATCAGCATCAGTCTAAAAGTATTACGAGATTTCAGCATCCTAAGCACCCATAAAATAGCTCTTTGGAACTATTAATAACACTTCAGTGGAAATAGCTCTTTTCTGTAATCCAAAAGAAATGTAACAATTCAGAAGAGAGCCATTTAATACCCTGCATATTACAACCGATCAGCCATAATTTCAGTGTACAGTCTATCTTAACAACAGGTATATTCACACAAAAACCATTTATCAGTAAATAAGTGACTTTACAAAAGCCCTTGGAAGGATAGTATTATTTTGGCTTGGAGACTGTTTCTGGGAAGACTTTACATAGAATTAATTAGCAGTGTCATTACATAATCTAACGAGCCATGGTAGGGCTTCTGATCTGGATGATGTTAGACAAAAAACAAAGTTACGTATTCAAGCTGACTTCAAACCAGGATAGTACCCCATTACTTATAGTTTCATAGTTTCTAGGGTCGGAAGGGACCTGAGCAGATCATCTAGTCCGACCCCCTGCCATGGCAGGAAAGAGTACTGGGGTCAAACGACCCCAGCAAGGTGGTCATCCAACCTCCTCTTAAAAACCCCCAGGGTGGGAGCCTGCACCACCTCACTTGGAAGCTGGTTCCAGACCCTAGCCGCCCTGACCGTGAAGTAGCGCCTCCTGATGTCCAACTTAAACCTTCCCTCCGCCAGCTTGTGACCGTTGTTCCTGGTCACTCCTTGCGGCGCTCGGGGGAACACGGACTCCCCCAGCGCCTGCTGATCCCCCCTAACCAGTTTATAACAGGCCACAAGATCCCCCCTCAGCCTTCTCTTTTGAACGCTGAACAGGTTCAGGTCCCAATCATCTGCCAATGTAAGCTCCTAGCATTTGTCTAATGTGGACTATCAGGAAATAAACTTAACAAATCTTAAAATGACCACCACATTAAAATGTGATTACTTGTCTACAATAACTCTTCTCCTCAACTGCACTGCCTCCACATAGCTACGCTCTTAAGAGTGATGTGGCAATATGAGAGACTAATACAACGAGTCTCTTTGGAAGCCATGTCAAGAAAGAGAACACAGTTTTAACCAAACATCTTTAGGCTACATTTGCAACTGCTTGGTCTTACAGTACAGGTGAAAGAGAATAGGGAATACAAGAATCACAAAAGACAGATTTATAAGATTATTCTCATGTTGCCTAGGACACAAACATTGTCTTGCCAACAGTAGCATCATGCTATCGTACTCAGCCATCAAAGAGTTGGGTGTACTAGAAAAGCAAATGCAACTTGAAAGGAATGCAAACCTTGTTTGGTAGCCATACAACCCTGGAATAACACATGATGAGACAGGAATCTTGAAAAAGTATTTTGGAAAGAGGCGCAGGTTGCTTTGTTGTAAGTTGAAGGTCATGCTGTTATTCCACAACATCCCTAGAAACGTGGAGCTAAATCCTTAATCATTTTGATGCAACCACATGAGCATTTGACATCTCCCTTTATTTTTTACCTATGTTTTTGTGTTCGGCGGGAGGGAAGGCATCACTGCCTTCCAGTAGAGAATGTCAGTACTGAGAAGGCATGGCACTTGAAACAATTGGGCACACTAAAGAACAAGCTGGATAAAATCTATTTTTAACTGACAGTTTTAGTTAAAACATATTCTTTCACTTTGCTTTTTTTAAAGAAAACAAAATCAAACATGATTTGTGAGAACTTAATATTGAGGTCTAACAAATTAAAATCTTTTTAATTAAATACAAATATTAAAGTACTACATGTACGCTGACAAAGTTTTAAAGAAAAGTTAAACCACTGAACTGGGGGAAGGCATTAGCTAAGCTCTTGGAAACAGTGTTTACTGAAGGGATAAACTAGCTTTTGACAGCTAGAGTTTCATAGTTAGTAGGGTTGGAAGGGACCTGAGCAGATCATCAAGTCTGACCCCCTGCCATGCCAGGAAAGAGTACTGGGGTCAAACGACCCCAGCAAAGTGTTCATCCAGCCTCCTCTTAAAGACCCCCACGGTAGGAGCCAGTACCACTTCTCTTGGAAGTTGGTTCCAGATCCTAGCTGCCCTGACAGTGAAGTAGCGCCTCCTGATGTCTAGTCTGAATCTACCCTCTGCCAGCTTGTGACCGTTGTTTCTAGTCACCCCTGGCAGTGCTCGGGGGAACAGGGACTCCCCCAATGCCTGCTGGTCCCCTCTGACTAGTTTGTAACAGGCCACTAGATCCCCCTCAGCCTTCTTTTATGTAGCCTCCTCTGCAGGTGCAGAGTGCACATTTCCTTCATTTCATAGCCAAGTGCAACAATAGTTCATCCAAAACTGAGAAACTGACAAAGAGTGGAGGGAACCCCACCTCCTCCCCCCCCCCC